CATGACAATTATGGCACAGGGATGGGACGACAATGACGATGACGGAATGCAAAATACAGCTTGTCATGCAAGGTGATCATGAGTTCTTACAGTAAAATACAACATCCCACGTCCACATCATATCTCATCACTACCTTGCCTTGTAGACCAGCACAACACCGCCAAACAATAAAGCCTCCTGGCTCTTGTCGCAACCCCGATTTGAAAAAGGGAGGCGAAAGCAGAAGAAACGGGTATAAACTGCAAACATAAATGAAACATCCAATCATACATTCAACAACACTGATGGCTTTTCCGTACAGACACACCATATCCCCATTAAAGAAAGGCCAGTTACAACTCATCGCCAACACATCATAGTACAGTACCCTAACACACATTGGAAACCTAGTCTCCGCTGGGTCTTTTCGTTTATTCGATCTTAATGCTACCGTAGATTTTCTGAACGAAAAAGTAGCTGGAGAAGAATCCAATGGTTCCTACACACGTATATTAGCCATGATGCCATTTTGGGATGAAGGATCGTGATGGAGGCGAACCTGTGAGGATGAAGAACAAGAACCCAATGAGCGCAGAGTATCCCAGATACAATACGTTGCCAGTCAAACCACCAAGGCTCAACTTGCTAACCCAGTAAACAATGGCATTTAAGAAGATATAAAATGCACATGCACCGGCTGTGAAGAAAGAACGCCACTGCCAATGGTAGTTCTCACTGCAGAGAAGGAAGTAGACCATCAATATGGTGACCATTGAACAAGTGACAATCTGTAAGCATGAAAGTTAGCATATGCCTGACGCGCTATGCGGACTGAGACCATACCATGATTCCGTAGCAAACAAATAGGAATCCGAACATGTAGTAAACCCTGTGAAACCAGATAGAGTTCATGATAAAGTAGAGCTCAACGAAGATAGCTCCAAAGGGTAAGATACCGGCAAGGAGCATAGAGGGAATAGGTCGGAGATATCCAATGGACGGAGGAATTTGCCTTGGAATCTGGTTCGTACGGACGGGAGCCTCAATGATAGGAGATCTAAATCCAAACCAACTACCGGCAAACGATAGAGGCACCGAGATCACAAACCAAATTCCAATTAGAGCTAGCATGGTGGTGAAAGGGACAGCTCCTGATGATTGGTTCATGAATAAGAAAAGGTTGAGGAAAAAGAACCAAGCAAAAACAATTCCTGGGATAAGGAATGGAGTAAGAATAATGTTCTTTTTCCAAGCCTCTCCACCTAGTGTTTTGTAAACCCGAGCTGAAACGTATCCACCGACGAAACCAAGGAGAGTGTAAAGTAAAATCGCAACTGTTCCCAGACTGCCACGGTTGGACGGAGATAGGAAACCTAACAACGCAAATGCAATTGTAACTCCAGTCATGAAGAACAGCTGAGAACCCGAGCCCAAGAGGATGGATAATAACATAGGGTTCTTTGGTGCACGGAAAACATCGCCATGAACCAGCTTCCAGCCGGAGTCGTCCTGTACATCCTCGTTAATATCGAGCTGGTTGTACCGACTGATATCTTTACGCAGAGCTCGCAAAAGAACCATTCCAACCATAGACGTCAGGAAAATAACGATGATGGCGGAGTTCACGAGTGAGAACCAATGAATGTTGGGGTTCTCAACACCGAGATACCTGTCCCATCGTGTGGCCCATGCTGTCTTGGAGGGTCTCCAGTATACTGAGTACGTATAGAGAACCTCTGTTTCATGTTCTTCGCTCAGTGATACTGGCTCTTCGCTGTCACAGTTCGCACCGAACTCCCTTGTGTTATCTTCCCGGGATTGACGGGATTCCGGCTGCACAGTAACGCCGACTACGCGGTATCTGGGGTCGCCCTTACGCGACGGGATCTCATGGAAGTCGATCATGAAGTTGTAGTGGGTGTTCAGATACGGAGTCGGAACCTTTCCGTCTTCGGGCTCGGGGGTGTCAAGGTAGCCCAATGGAAAGCCCTGTGTAAAGTATTCGGTCCCGGTATTATCCACATAACTTCCTGGCAGTCCATCCACAAGAAAGTTAAGGTTATAGTTCTGCCAGATCCGCCTGTTTACAAATGTTGCCATTTTCTTTTTATATTTCTTCGGTCCACATTGCTTCTTGCATGTCTCATTTTTTCCCATGTGTAGCTCGAAAGGCGACGTTAGGATTCGGTCTCCAAATAAGATCGATCCTAGCGACTCTGCAACCTTCTCCGGTCCGTTCTTCGGCTGGCAGAAGCCCAGCTTATCATGATAGTAGTCGAAAGGAAAGACTGATCGTAGCTCGGGGGACTTTTCGTTGCTGCTTGGTGTCAAACGATTGACGTATAGCGGTACCGTGTCGCCTTTCTTGTAGTCTGTCGGCGCAACACCTGGAAGATAGAAGCCAGATACTACAGTGCTGAGGGAAAGCGCCCCCAGCAAAGCCTTTGCTGGGGTTGAGAACATCATTTTGGCGAAGGTGGACCTGGGATTGGCGGCGGGAAGTTCAGGAGGATGGAAGCTAGTTGTAAAGCTTGAGCTCGCACGCGAGCGAGTGGGGTTTGGAAGCCGAGCGCAGAACTTCGGATCGAAATCGCAAAGCTACCAGCTTATCCGTATCGACGTGGTGGGGTATTTTTCGTGATAACGAGGGTGGCTGCTCCGAGCTTGGTGAGCTGTGTTCAAGAAATGTGTTCCTACTACTTCCTAGCCTAAACACTTAGGGAGCACATGTAGAGCCTCACGCTAAAGTGAACGGTCCCGTGTAACAGGGCCTGTAAATGAGTTTGGTAACACAAATGAAGGTACTTATATTAAATGAAGATTTTTGCCATTCAAAAAATCGAGTGCATATCGTCTACATAGGTAGATTTGCCGAATCGACGTGGCTTACGAAATCTACCTTACGCACGATAAAAAATAATAAAGAATGTCCCTCCGACCGGAGTCGAACCGGTGACCAACGGATGGCAGCAAATATTACAGTCCGGTGTGATACCAACTACACCACAGAGGGTGTGGACAACGTTACGGCAAAATATACATTACATAATCATATGTTAGACTTAAGCACTCTTCGAGCACTCTAAGAATCAATCGTTCTTCTAGAAGATATGAGTGTTTCTCAGCCTCGTTGATGTATCTGTGTCAACGTCTAGATTGTCCCATGGTTGGCCAAATAAGGATTTGCAGTTCATTTGTACAAGGGCCATCCAGAAGACTGTGCCGGTTTCGATCAGAATAAGCTATTTAAGTAGTGTATTTCGGGTATCATTTAGTATTGCAATAGATATCGTATGACACATCTTCAGGATTCTAGATCCATGAGCAAGATATTATTTCCGCTTCTTGCAGGCCATTCCCGCATTCATCATCTCCACCGCTTTGGCCATAACTTGAAATGACCGCCAACCAAGGATCGTGGGAATAATGAGCCACGGGATGTTGCAGCCCACATAGTAAATCCAGAAATAAAGAAACTCTGGACGACAGTGCTTGTTTCCCCCTACGGTTGCGGTTACGTAATATAGAAGCACGCCATACACATGGCAGCAACATGCAAGTAATCGCATCGGATGACGTTTAGGGCTTTCGAAAACGGTTGCAAGAAAGGTAAGAAGGCATAACGGGCCAAGGAAAACCTATTGATATCAGTAAAGCAACGACCCACTCATTCTGGTAACTCATACCACAGTCAATGCTTCAATTCCGACGACGAACTCTCCCTCAGCCTTTGCGCCCAATAGGTACCGAGAATCTGAAAGCGCATACTCCTTCCACAACTCGCCGATGACATCCGTACGAGAAGCCAGAGAATTGCGGTACTTGATGAAATAGCCCTCGAAGTGAATGTGTAGTAATCCGCAGTACAAGAACCAACTAGCCGTGGCTTTTGCACGAGTTGTGAGGGCTGGATTCAGGAGCGACATTAACTGCCAGCCGAGTAGGAGGACGAGAGCGCTGGCAGCACCCATTGCACAGAGTATAATTTCTTTCGAAAGTGCTGGTGATAGATAGTCAAGCTGCATATCCTGCGGATAATATGGGTGCGTCATGGTGAAGGTATGGTTTTCGTGGTAGACCAGCGGAACGTGGAGTGTACTGATGATGCGGAGGTGCAACGTCGCGACGCGGTTAGAGTAGCGCTACCTGCGGGATGTGCCGATCAAAGTATCTGCATATTCTGTCACCCGTGACGGCATTTTCATCGTCATATTGACTTTGTTTTGCAGAAAACTCATAGAAGTTAGATTCCTTATACAATTTGTAAAATAATCTATTTGATAGGCGAGCTGTGGAACCAATCTGAATCAATGACAGAGAAACCATCCGCCGGATGTCGTTGAATTGTGTTGATTTCCATTCAATTACACATTTCATTACTATATTTCCGATGATTTTTGACTCCCCAGCTCCTTCTACCAACCCGAATATCCACTTATCTACCCATCTCTGATTGAGATTTTGTCTTTTACCCCGTAAACCAGCAACCACTCGACACAATGAACGACTATGTCCGCGGTACTCTCCTCATCGTCACTCTCATCATATGTGTTTTCATGCCGAAATGTGCGGTCAACTTGTTTGACGCCTATAATAGATCACGGGCATCAAACACGACTCGAGGTAATAACCCGGCACACATGAGTGCGCCTACAATATTCAGAGGCCATGACAGAGATTTTAGCGTCGATAGTGTCAGTAAACCAAAACCATGAGACGCCATAGGGAAAACTAATTTGAATACTATAAGAAGGCCAAAACCACACTGCGAGACCTATACAATACATTCCACTTAAAACTATGGTTGTTTCGATCTGGTCAATTTACATTGTAGCTCTGATTATAGGCAGCCCAGCTATAGTTCATAGGATCAGAACTTGAAATGACTTGGTCAGATATCCATCTCATATCGTACAGTTAACTGTACATAGCAATTCAATTCGTTATTGGGATGTATTCAGACAGAATAATTAAGTATAATGTTTTTAGAAAAATTAAACTGTTAAACTTTATGTCCGCACCCTCTGTGGTGTAGTTGGTATCACACCGGACTGTAATATTTGCTGGCATCCGTTGGTCACCGGTTCGACTCCGGTCGGAGGGACATTCGTTTTTCCACTTAATAGGTTCCGTGATGAATGTTTTTGTACGCACATTCAAATACATACATACAATACAAGTAGTCTCATGTCTTTATGTTTTTTGATGCTTGACCCTCTATACCTAATCTCAGAGCTAGTTTATTTGGGACGTTTAGAACTGGCAAATCCTGCAGTAAAGTAGAGGACTCAACCGTTGTGAAGTTTCGATATCGAAGCTGTTGTTGTAGTTTCTATTTGATGGTCTAAAAAAAAGCCCCGCGATGGAGACCGTTCATTTATATTTTTGACAATAGGCCAGCACTTGCTCTACGGTTTGTCTGGTAATGAGTTCCGTTTACAATTAAGTCTAGAGAAAAATAAACGAAGATAGCGCAAAAAAAAAAAATGTTCCTCCGACCGGAGTAGCACCGGTGACCAGTGGATGGCAGCAAAGATTACAGTCCGGTGTTATACCAACTACACCACGGAGGGTGTAGACGGCTGATAAGCTTTGCCAAAAATTATATAATACATTGTTATATAGAAAGCTTTCCGTCGCATTAACATAATAATAATAATAATTCTTCATGTACTGTATGCAACCTTAATGGTTGACAGTCGTAATCCTAGAATTACATTTACCTGAACGTATTCCAACTTCTTGTCTATAGCTAAGAAGGCATAGATTAGGCATTTACATGTTCGCCGAGAACTTCAATTGGCTCAACCATACTACGGTATACAATTCTGAGTTGAACAAAAACACGCAGTTTTCCTCAGTACCAGTGAACCATCCGCGAGTCTTCTCGAAATCGCCTCTCTTACTACAATCCAGTTTTATTTCCCACTCAAACGGGGCTCTTCAAGTACTTCATACTCTGAAACGACAGATCAACAAAGGAATAATGGACCAATCCATTGAGCTATCGGAATCACAGCTGGGCCACTATGTCGATTATCTGTTGGCCTGCTTCGAGGATGTTGATGGCGTTGTTAAGTTGGACAACCCGGATGCACAGGATACTAGCAACCAAATTCGAAACGTACCAACACCGATAGATTTCAGTGGATTGAACTTGAAAATCCCGGAATTTACTACAAGCCCTTCCGCGCACAACTCAACCAATAATTCAGATACAACAACGATAGTCGAGAACGTTCAGGGAAAAATCGATCAGATTATGAACGGCTTACTCACTGGCGACGAACTTCTACTTCTGTTGGATGTCCGATCCCACATTCACGCTTTAGAACACCTTATTCATGTCGAACGCAAGAGGATTGAAGAATTACAGGCAGAGAGCTTCCAACTCAAATGTCAGGTGGATAGTTATCAAAAATTGTTTGCAATCGCAATGGAGGATATGGACATGATAAATTACCAACCGGTGCCCGCGGAGTCCTATGAGATGAAATGATAGACGCAGCTCCGGCTAATGATAACCATTCGCCTAATACTATTGGTGATCTTCCACTGATAGAATATGGGGATACAGCTTCGCAACCCAATCAAGCCATGAGTCGTCAGATATATGATTATGTTGAGGGTCTAGAGGTGGTAATCAACGGCTATCACTCGATAATACAGCTCTCTATCGAGGCTACGAATGTGAGACAACAAGTTCAGAGGTGGAACAATGAGTAGAGGAAGTACAGAGAGAACTGATGGCGTTATTAGTCCGTCTTAACAGACGTACAAATAATGTTTAATGAGTCTCCTGTGCGGAATTTGCAGACGTTGCAGCGCTGAAGTCAAATTAACGTCCGCCACTTTGTAGAGTAGCTTAGCTTGACATAGTTAATTCGATCTTGTAGTCTAGTGTCAATTCTGGAACAAAAAAGACCGGAATGTACCGTGTGATAGTGGGTTCAGCAAAAAAGCAAAAAGATAATCGCTGACCCCGACGCGATTTGAACGCGCAACCTTCTGGACTGGAATCAGATGCGCTACCCTTGCGCCACGGAGTCATGACTATAAGAGTGTTAATATACACATATATCAAACAATACACGGATGAGGGATATCCAGCGTCGATGACTAAGTCCAAAATTGATCCGAATTGTCGACCGGCTTAGCCCTCTTTTACTGAATGCATCCAATTCTCTGTAAGTCCCGAGATGATTTAACGTGTTTTATCCCCATGCGTATTGCAGTGGCTTAATCTCACGATCTCACGTGCACGAATATCAAATGAAATGAACGTTGGTTTCATCAATCATTCCTGTGATAGACCGCGGAAAAAACGGTCAATCACGTTCACATATGACTGCACCAGTGTTCAAGGATTCTATATGAATATAAGCACCGTAAATGAAAATGTCTTGATCCTTCGTGCCTTTGCTTGCGCGTTAGGCCCTGGCTCATGAAGTCTGCAACACACGCGGCGTGCGTGAAATAGTGTTACCTTGATAATATAAGCCACAGTATATGCGAGTATGATGACACTACTCTATATATCATGTAGGTTCTGTCACAATGCGGGGATCAATTGCACGGGCCTCAGCATAATATCAACCGGGGATTACAAGCTACTTGAGAATCCTGTCTGTAGATCATCACCTGCTTAATTATCCATTTGTCTTCCCGAGTATCGGAAAGTCTCAGCGCTTTGTCCGGCCCGTGTGTGAAGGTTTTGCTTAAAGTGAAGTAGTTACTGCCTCATCGAGCATAATTTCATCCCAAACCGCAGACGCCTTCATTGAAGGTATTAATGCAATAAAAATTCCACGTGCTTTAGACTATCTAGTAATCACTACCGAAGCATTTGGATTGAGTTGAAAGCACGTTCTGGCATAAGTGCACATACAGTCAATACTCTATCGGTTATCCCGATCTTGATAGGCTAAATCCTCAGTGTAGATACACTTACGTCCTAGCCCTGAGCAATTGAGGCACCGGCGACAGCGGATTCTTCAGCTTCAATAAGCGTGGGAGTTCCTGCTTCACCGATTATCATCGTTGAGACAATCATCAAGGCATCGTCGCACAATACCGAAGCTACCCGCGATTCTTACTGGCTAGACCCACACTAACTTGTCTCCCGGTGGGAATCCTATCTACCCCACATTTTCGACCAGGCTTAGCGCTGCTGCATCCAACACACACTAGCGGTGGAAATAAGGTGTGTGGTTGTGAGCTGACAACCTGGTTCATGTCAAATTGAAGGGCAAGTTATTTCATCCGAGTAGCCTTTTTAGGGACCTAGTGAGTTATATGTATATGTAAACGAGACCCACAGAAAGAAAACTCTGGAACCTGGTTCTTGAATGAGGGGTAGAAGCGAAAGCCCCTGCCGGGCAGAGAATTAAAAGGGGAAGGCATCCATCTACGCCTCAACGTGACCATTGTAGAAGAGTTCCACGAATTATTTTGCGTCGTGGTTGTGCTCTATTTGACCAGATATCGTTGGTACACGAGTGATATCTGATGGGAGATAGCTCTCGGCCGCTAAAACAGATACATTTCAGACCTTATCAGAACTATGGAGAGATAAACATTTGAACTGGTTAGTAGGGATTCTAGGATTTAGACCGCTCCCTACGGTGTTTCCTGATTGCCGGTCAAGCAGGGGTTTCCGCAGAGTCGGCGCGGGAACATCGGTACGAAGAATATATTGGGGCTTGGCGCTGAACTGTGTATTCCCTAATTCCGCAGGAAAGCCCTGGATAACCCATACCAGTTATTCGCTTATTGACAACCGCCTTTTTCTCAAACAAAACCTCATGTACCTGCATAAATCCGTTTCTCTGTCTCCGCACATCCGTTCCACCTCTTATTCGCCTCTGGAGAATTGACGGTTACTAATAATCGTTCCAGGGTTGACTCCAAAAAGATGAATCACAATCAATGTCAACCAAGAGGTATTCTGATGATCATAGAAGAGCATCCATAAAACATTCTTGAAATACGCATCTACTGATTTCTTCGAGAGCCAAATTAGTGCACTCCCGCATGATAGAATGATTCCAGACCATTTAGTGTCTTCATAGTTCGTAGTTATGTTCACCGAAATCTACTGGAAGCGAGGTTAACATCAGAGCTCCATGAAGAATCCGCATGTTGTAAACGCCGGAAGCCCGATGCTCCCTTGAAGATACAGGATGTCTAGGGTTGTCTTCCTGTATTCCTAGCTTATGGTTAAATATGGACCGATTGTCGATGGCCGATTAGCTGGGACGCACAATCGGCCTTCCTCAATCAGTAACATATCTTCAGTCTGGGTCTTACAGAACTATTCATACCTAACAGAAAGAGAGGGCCTTGTATATATATAAAGTAGGATAATGGACCTGCAGGACGTACTGGTTCAGCCGTGCGTTTATAGCCTGTCAACATCGCCTGCATGCAGAAGTAGCCCCCTGCAGTCACCGTGCGGCTAGTGTGGATCTAGGTATGACACCCATGGTTTCCAGAAGGATTGGATCTCGTATAGAAGCGGCAGTTTTTGACAAAGATGCTTGTCTCGGTTGCGGCAGTGGCAACGGTAATGGCTGTAGTGGCGTAGTGACCATCGTGAAGGTGGTGGTAGTAGAATTGGTGGTTTATCCGGGTCCCATGGTGGTGTTGAAGTTGGATGCCACTGTATTAACTCCAGCAAGACTTCCACAGAGCCCTAAAATCTGCCCTATCTAAGTGCCGCAAAGGTATTATGCGGTAAATACCCCACTCTCGATAATCAACATACATATCGGCCCTAGATCAAGCGGTTTCCTCTGGCGCTATAGATTCAACATAAAATAAGGCCCGATAACTAAAACCGATCGGCGTTCATAAATTCCTTCTTACAGATTACAGCCCTATCAAAGGTGAAATTTGGCGTAGGCAGAACATCATTTTTAAATACACGCGACAGTGGATCGAAGTTAACCGCCTGGTCAAGAAGAATTAATACAACTAACGGCAGCCGTGTCCCAACGGCGAGCTCTTTCACGCCAGCCTTTTTGGATGGAAATTGATCGGCATCGACCCATACATGCTTCATAATATCACGATGTTCTAGTTTTTGTCTCTGTACGTAATAGTGGGTCCGATATTGACCTGTCAACAGCTGTATATCACTCAAAAGTGTTGGATGGATACCCCGCCAGAGGAAAATCCTCGGTGTTCCCTTGTAGCCTCTTGCAGAAACGCTACTTCCCGCAAAACGACGAATCATGTTGCACAGATTATGAAAGAGGGAGGTTCGTTCAGGGCTAGGGTAATCCATTCATGGCCATCACTCGATTCTTGATCCGGCCCCAAACTTCGTACTACACAGGTGCACGTTTTCAAAAAGAAAATACGAGCCACATGCAAAGTATTGAATCACGATCTACCACGGGTGAGAGGTGTGACATCGTTCTAGAAGCCCTCCTATTTTCCTGGTGTTCGATTCTAGCTCCGAACCTTCCTACACACTCACAACTGAAACCCTCATTGAATCGAGGATGTTCTAGTGTACTTTGTGCATATCGAAACTTTCATCTTGATACGCACATAAGATGAGCAGATC